GAGCTCTGGATACTTGGCTTTAAGCTCCTCTTCTTTCTCCCAAGTTGACTCATCAAGTCCATGATTTCGCCACTGGACCTTGAACAAGGAAACCTCATTGCTTCTGAGTTGATGTAGCTTTCTGTCCAAAATCTTCATCAGGGTTTCTTCATATGATAAGTCCCTTTGTATGTCCATTGTTTGATAACTTATTACATGATTGGGATCATGAACATATTTTCTAAGAATCGATTTATGAAATACGTTATGCACTGTTGCAAGTTCAAGTGGTAAGACAAGTCGGTAAGCCACAATACCAATTCTTTCAAGGATCTCGAAAGGTCCAATAAATCGTGGTCTCAATTTTCACTTCTTACCAAATCTCAATACACCCTTCATGGGTGTTACTTTAAGGAAAACTTTGTTGCCCACACTAAATTCCAAATCCTTTCTCCTACTATCCGCATAACTTTTTTGTCGATCTTGTGCTGTCTTTATTTTGGCTCTAATCTTGTCAACTGCCTCAACTGTTTGTTAAATGATTTCAGGGTCCAAAATTCTATTCTCTCCGACCTCATTCCAATGGATAGGGGATCTGCACTTCCTACCGCAAGGAACTTCATATGGGGCCATACCTATAGTGGATTGGAAGCTATTGTTGTAAGCAAACTCCACTAAAGGCATATGTGTCTCCCAACTACCTCCAAGATCCAAAACACATGCCCTCAACATATCTTCTAGAGTTTGGATGTTTCTTTCTGATTGTCCATCCGTCTGAGGATGATAAGCAATGCTAAACTTAAGTTTTGTCCCCATGGCTATCTGTAAACTTTTCCAAAAACTAGATGTAAACCTCGGATCTCTATCTGAAACAATAGTGACTGGAACTCCATGCAATTTGACTATCTCTTTGATGTATAGCTGTGCAAACTGTTCCATATTGAGGTTTACCTTGATTGGTAAAAAAATGGGCTGACTTCGTCTTACTATCAACCACTACCCAGATAGCATTGTGACCTTTTGCTGACCTTTGGAGGCCTACCACAAAGTCCATCGTTATGTGTTCCCACTTCCATTCTGGGATATCCAACTGTTCCGGTAGTCCTGATGGTCTTTGGTGTTCTGCCTTGACCTACTGACAGATAATACATTTTCAATGAACTGACCAATTCCTCTCTTCATATTTCTCCACCAAAATGTATCTCAGAGATCTCGATAAATTTTCGTACCACCTGGATGTGCTGAATACGGGCAGAGTGAGCCTCTTCCAGTATCTCATTTCTTATACTTTCATCTTTAGGTACACATAACCTTCCTTTGAAAGTTAGCGCATTATCTGCAGACATTTCAAATCCCATACGTTTGTTTGTGCCAACCTCAGCCTTTATCTTCTATAGAAATGGATCCTTATTCTGTGCCTCCTTGATTCGATCCCGAAGAGTAGGCTGAATCATAAATACTTTTACTCTTGCTGTAGTCCGAGTCGATAGTGTGATAACTTCCAATCTCAATTTCTCAAAGTCCCTTATCAAGTGTTTCTGCACTGTGAGTAGAACTGTTAAATGTGATGCTGTCTTTTTGTTTAGGGCATCTGCAACTACGTTAGCCTTACCCAAATGGTAATGAATTGTGTTGTCGTAATCTTTCACTAGTTCCAACCATCTCCTCTATCTCATATTCAGTTTCTTCTGTCTAAAGAAGTATTTAAGACTCTTGTGGTCTGTATAAATTTCACACTTCCCACCATAGAGATAATGACTCCTTATCTTTAAGGCGTGAACTACCGCTGCAAGCTCCAAGTCGTGCGTTGGATAGTTTTGTTCATATTGCTTCAACTGTCTCGAGGCATAAGCAACCACTTTTCCATGTTGCATTAGTACACAACCCAAACCCTGCTTGGAGGCATTGTGATAGATCACAAATCCCTCTGAACCTTCAGGTATCGTCAGTACAGGAGCTGAGACTAGCCTCTGCTTGAGTTCTTGAAAATATTTTTCACATTTTTCCGTCCACTAAAACTTCACACCCTTTCTTGTTAAGTGAGTCACCGGCCCTGCTATTTTTGAGAAGCCTTCAATGAATCTTCTATAATAGCCAGCCAATCCCAAGAAACTGACTTAACACACACTGGTCGGCCTTGGCCAATTTCTTACTGCTTCTACTTTAGCAGGATCTACTTCGATTCCTTGGGCGGTAACCACATGACCAAGGAAACCTACACGATCAAGCCAAAATTCACACTTCTTGAATTTAGCATATAATTTCTCCTTCCTCAAAGTCTCAAGTACTACTCAGAGTTGTTCCTCATGCTACTTCTCATCTTTGGAGTACACGAGTATGTCGTCGACAAATATTATGACAAATTGATCTAAGTACTGATGGAACACTCTGTTCATGAGATCCATGAAGACAGCTGGAGCATTGGTTAAACCAAAAGGCATGATAGTGAATTCATAATGCCCATACCAAGTCCTGAAAGTAGTGTTTGGTATATCGCTTGCCTTGATTTTCGGTTGATGATACCCTGACCTCAAGTCGATCTTTGAAAATACTGGAGCACCCCTTAACTGGTCAAACAAATCTTCTATTCTTGGCAACGGGTACTTATTTTTTTATGGTTAGATGGTTCAATTCTCGATATTCAATGTACATCCTCATGCTCCCATCCTTCTTCTTAATAAAAAGGATAGGAGCTTTCCAAGGAGATACGCTCGGTCGATGAAACCTTCTCCAGCAATTCCTCCAATCGCAACTTCAATTCTTGAAGTTCTTTCGATGCCATTTTGTAAGGGGCCTTGGATACTGGTGCTGCTCCAAGAATCAAATCAATTGTAAATTCCACTTGCCTACCTAGTAGAATGCCTGGCAAATCTTTTGGGAACACATCTGCAAAGTCTCACATGATATTAATATCGTTAACAGTCATTTCTGTATGTTGAGAACAGATAATGTTAACCAAGAATCCCTGGCATGACTTTTTCCCCAACATCTTCTCCGCTTGTATAGCTGATATAAGATGAGATAGGGACTTGAATTTTACTCCGAAGAAACGGAACTCTTTCTCTCCCGGTCTATGAAATAGCACTTCTTTTTCGTGACATCGAATGGTTGTATGATTAAGTCCTAACCAATCCATGCCTAAAATAACATTGAAATCTTTCATTTCCAAGAGGTATAAGTCTACCTCCATTATTTTTCCATCGATCTCTAACTTCATAGATTTAGTCATTTGGTTTGTGCAAAGAGTTTTTCCTGACAGGCTGCTAACCTCTAATTTATTATTCGTTCTAATACATGCAAAGTTGGACCTAGCGACGAAGGATGCAGATATAAAAGAATTGGTAGCCCCAGAATCAAAAAGTACGTAAATAGGCACATTGGATAATAACAAAATACCTGTTTTTGTAATTATAGTGTAAGACTAGTAACCAAAGGACATAAATAAAACGATGTTTAGTCCTAGGTAAAAAGAACATAAGCAGGTATGTTAAAAAAAAATGTTTAATAAATACCTGCTATCACATTCGAATCTTACTCTGCCTCATGCTAATTTAGTGTGAAAACATGGGCCTTTCCTTTCTTGTTTTGATTTTGATCATCATCCTTCTTCTTTGGAGGCTCTGGACAGTTGAGAACGATGTGTCCGAGCTTATGACACCTAAAGCACACGCTCTTCCCGAGCAAGTATTCACCCTTGTGGAGTTATTACACTTAGGACAGGGTGAAATACTTCCACTCGTCCCACCAATGCGAATTCTCGTGCTTGGCCTTTTATTCTGCCAGTTGCATCTGTTCTTGCTTTGATCACTCTACTTCTTTTTCCGCAACGACTCTTTGCTTTGCTGGGCATACTGTTAAAATGAGGTCCTTTGATATGAAATAGCATGAGCCCTTTCCAACATTTCACGATATGAGGTGAAACGATGGGACATAATGATCATCCTGATCTCAGGGCGTAGTCCATTCTCGAACCTCTAATTTTCTTAACTTCTGTATCCACCAAGTGCGGGGCATACCTTGAGAGTTGCTCAAATTGCCTTTCGTAATCAGTAAGTGACATGTTCCCCTGTCTGAGCTGCAGAAATTCTAATTCCTTGAAGTCCCTAAAGCTTGTGGGAAATATTTGTCATCACTTCATCTTTAAACTGCTCCCAAGTCAGACTACATTGCTGCTCTTTCGTCCTTGTACGTGAAACAGATTCCCACCAGTGACCAGCTGCTCCAATCAACATAAATTCTGCGCATAATATTTTCTGTGCATCTGTACAAGCAATGTGTCGAAATATGCGCTCCAGGCCTCTTATCCACTCTTCGACAACCAGTGGTTCAGAATTACCGTCAAAAGTAGAAGGCTTGTACCTACGAAACTGCTCAACCACTGAGACAGCTCCAACGGCAAAATGTGGTGTATTCTGTTGTGGCGGTGCATTTTTTGATGGAGGTGCTTGATTTTGCCTACTCAACTCTTGTACCGCTCGCAGTAAGTCACGCATCAAATTTGTATGAATAGGTGGTGCCATTTCCTAAAATTTAATATGAAGTCACCGGTCATTTCCATTACTAAGTCTAACACGTCATGCTTATTTTTACTGTAATGCATATCATATATTTAGTGGGAAACAAATGTGCATGTCTTCAAAAAATTTGAAAGTAGGAAATTTAAAAGATGTAGATTTTACAAAAGTTTAAATAAATTCATCTTCTTACCCATTTACATACCTTGGAG